GTTTTTTTTTTTTTTTGTTTGTTTTTTTGAAAGGTAGGGTTCTCAAAGGTCCAGAAAATCGGACACTGCCATTTCCTCCCCTGGCACTCAGTAGGTCTGTAACAAACGACTGGTTGAATTAAAGCGAAGTCAACCTTCAGCCCCTAAGCCCTAGGGAGCCTCCAGATTTCAAACGCTGGGGAGAGAGAGGCTCTCGCTTTATTTATGTTCACTTTGGGTAAGCACTCCCTGTGAAGGGTTAAAAACCTGCCTGGGAAAATGGCCCGGAGGAGGTGCCATTCCTGAGACGCTCCCGATCAGCCACCCGGCTGAAAGGTCCTTCCCAGGCTGTCAGGTGCCCATGTCGAGGCTGCGTAAAACGGCCATCACCCTTTGGAGGGCTGACCTGCCGCGGTCTCTCTACGAAGTGCTGGGGACAGCGCTTCGCACGCCCTAATGTGTTCAGCGAATGTCGATCAGAACCGTCTTCGCGGTGCTGGGCTCGAGGTCCAGGAGACCTGGCCTGGGACCGTTAACCAGCCGTGGGGCCCCGAGCCCACCGAGGCTCTGCTGCGCTAGTTTGGGGAAGGCACTCGACAAACCAAAACCCGCTCCAGAACGGCCCGTCGGTTGTTCACACTGGTACCATTACTGTCACCTTCGGCAAGGCCCTCCGAGGCGGAGCGCGCCGAGCCGAGCCGAGCCGAGCCCAGACGGCCGCTCCTTTTTTTCTCCCTCCGACAGACGGAGGCGTCCGGGACGGTGCCGTCGCGTCCCGTCGCGTCCCAGCCGGGCCGGGGCGCGCCTCTTGCAGACATTACGGTAGGCGGCGGTGATAAGAGGACCACGTGGCCTGGGGAGCGGAGGCACCGGCTGGAATGCGCGGAATGCGCGGCGCTGCCTCTTAATGAGCGGAGCCCGAGCCTCAATTAAAGCGATAGCAGCGCGCGCTAACCGCTCGCCGCTCCCGGGGCCGGGCCGGGCCGGACCGGGCCGGGCCTGGCCCGCTCCCACGCAGGCACTCTGCAGCCCACTGCGGCGCGGGGGATCTGCCAGCCCCCCAGCCGGGCTTTGCCCACGCGCGACGGGGGGGGGCGGGGTCGCGACTGCCGAATAGGGTCACTCCCTCCCCCGGCACTTCCTTAAGCCAAGATTTGCATGACTTGGAGCGACGCCCCCGCCCCCTCCCAGATTCCTAGGTAAAGGATGCAAAGACTTCGGGCTGCAGAACAATACCCCGAAGATCGAGAGCAGGACCCGGCAGGCCCCGCCGAGGCTGGGGAAGGGGCAGGCCGCCGTCGAGGGGGGGAGGGCTGAGTGACACAAGCAGCCGCCGTCTGGGGTGGAGGGGGGAGCCCCCGAGGACCGAGCACCCCCGGGGCTGTCCCCGCTCCCGCACCTCCCTGGGACCCCTCCCGAAGTCGGGCGGGGACGAGACTGCCCCGAGACCTTGCGCACCCACGGGCCCTTGCCCGTGCTTGCAAGCACGGAAGCTACAATTCATAATCTCGGTCGGTCCGCGGGTCCCGCGAGGGGGGAGAGGGGCTTTCCGATTTCTCGGACGCTGCGCGCTCCGCCCCGACTGCCTCCCCCCTCCGTCCGAGACAGGGGGTTTGAGGAAGCGCCTGCCCTCCCCCTCCCTTCTAGTAGCTCCTCGTGCCCACCAGGGAGGGGAAGAGGAATGGGGGGTTCGGCTTCCGAGGTCCCCGGGCTCCCCCGACGCCGCCACGTGCTCCCACCGAGCCGGAGCCCGCACACCCACCCCTGAGGAGCCGGGGACTTGAAGGATGGGCCCCACAAACCGCGAGTACGCGGGAGGGTGGGGGGGGGGCCGCACCCGCTCCCCGAGGCATTCCTCTTGGAAAGTCAACAATGGACCAGAGATTGGTTGGGGGAGGGAAGGCACACCCCTTAAAGTCGCCGGCAGATATGCGCCTGCAGGTGAGCCCACCCCCACCTGCCCACGTGGGAAGTGGCTTGTTCTTGGAAAGCTTCCTGTCTAACAGGAGGCCTGGAGTCGAGGGAAAAGCGCCGGGCCTGAGGGACCACCCCCCAGCCACCCACGTGGTGGTCCCCATTTCGCTACCTGCTGGTCATCTCATTGTTTCCTTGACCCCTTCCACGGGGGTTGACGTCGGACACCCGAGAATCAAAATGAATTAATCGTTGAGTCAGAAACAGGGGGGCGGTGGCGGGATTGTTTTAATTATGCCTCTGTTGCCTTTTTCTATTAAGTAAACGAGGTTTCCCCTCCGGGCTGGGTCTTCAGTTCTTTGTCTCCCGGGACACCCTCCCCCCCCATTACTTTTAAAGCAGGACATTTAAGTGAGCTCATCCCCGTCGAATCGAGTTTGAAAGGCCAGCGCAAAATACAACGGAGAAAATAATCAAAAAATTATAATAATTCTCTCTATTCGGAGGTCTTCCCTCCGAGCCTTTGTCCCCACCCTCCACATTCCTGGGAGTCCCGCGTCCAGCCCCGGGTGCCTTCGGGGGTCGGCCCCCTGGGGGGGGTCTGGGAGCAGAACTGGGTGCAATCGGCTTGTTCGCCCCGCTCCACGGTCCCGGCTTCTCATTGTCGCACCCCAAGAAGGGTGGCACGGGACCACAGCGCCTGGTTCCTAGACGGCCCGGGCAGGCTCTGCATTTCGGGCCCGGGCCTGCACGTTTTTCAGCGCACCCTGCACTTTAGCGCTGGTCCCTGGGCCCCGGCCATGGAGCTTGTTAGTTCCTCGTTGAGATCTGCCTGATCCGCCTGGTAACACATCTCGTCTCCCATTGGCTAATGCTAATTCCAGCTTCCTCCGGGGTTTCCACCCAGCGAAGGGGGAAGCTCCCTCCAGGAATCGACCTCCGAGCCTGTTGGGTGGCCGGGGGCTAACTCCGGGGGCGCCCACGGGCGCGGCGGGGCCCGGGAGGCTGTCGCAGCCCGCCCCGGGCCCCGAGCGTTCGCGGGGCCATACCACGGCCGCGATTTTATGAATGAAAGAGCTGCGGCGCTGGCGTCGGGCCCCGGGCCCGGCGTGGGCGGCGCGGGGTGGCCGGCTCCACGCGGCTGGACCGTGGCGTCCGCCCGCACAGCCTCATCCCCAGCCCTCAGAGCCCGATGGGGAGCCCACACGTGCTCGAGGCTGCGCTTCGCGTCCCTCCACCCCAGAGCCCCCCAAGAGCCCTCGAGGCTCTGGCGGCGTCTGGCCGCTCCAAGCCCTCGACTCCCCGACCCCTCCCCAGGCTCAGCCCGGCTCAGTGAAATTAACCTGAGCTCGACACAAGGTGGAAAAGGGGGGGGGGGCAGAACGGAGGGTCTCTTTAAGACCGTAAGGTATTGTGTGACCCCCCCCCTCGGCTACAGAGAGCACGGACGCTGCTAGTCCAGCAGAGGAAGGAAGGGAACACGCACTCATTAAGCGCCTTCTCTGTGTCAGGAACGTGGAGTAAGCTGGCAAGGAGCTGAACACGTCTTGCTAATTTCTTGTTGACTGAGATCGAAACCTACCAAAGTCCTCCCAAGATTGCGCCCCGGGCAAAATCTGATTAAGCGACCCCCACCAGACCCCCTCCCCCCGCACTTGACAGAGGGGGCCAACCATCAGCCTCTTTTCTCTTGTTCTTCCTTTTTCTTCCTTTTCATGGCTTTTTTCTCTTTTCTTATTTTCTCTTGTCGTTCTCTCCTTTTTTCTCTATTTCATCTATCTTTCTTCTCCTCTTCCCCTCTTCCTTCTCTCTCAATCTCGTTTGTTTCCTTTCCTTCCTTTCCCAAGTAAGAGGCTGGACGGAATTTTGCTGCCTGCCTGTGGATTCGGAGGTTCGCTGCTGAATTCCCCTGAGTGGGGAGGTGAAGAGAGGTGAAAGGAGGCCGGGGAAAAGGTGGTTTGCCTGGAGTTCCCTTCCTCCGTCTTGGCTAAAGTCTTCCTCTTAGTACTAGGACGGGCTAGAGGAAATGCTGACCACCATTTTGTTATCCTGGACCGTTGGTGGCACTTTCTGTGGGCTTCTTCGGGGGCCTGTGTTTTTCCCCCTAGAAGAGCAAGGGGTCCTATCCCGGGAAGTGTGGGCTGAAATGCTGCCTTTTCCAGGGAGGATCGCTTGCAAGGGAGATGCTGGCCTTTTGTGCCCATGCATGCATACACGCGAGCGTTGTGAGAAGTTTTCCAAGTGTCTAGAACAGTGAATCAAAACGATATTTTAAATCGAAGGGGAAAAAAGGCCTTGCCCTCCCCCCGCCCCCTCCAGATCCCCTTTAGCCCCCTCCAGATCCCCTTTAGCCCCCCCTGGTCATCGGGGGGGGGGCCCCTGCTCCCTAAGAGTTCACGTGTCTGCCTGGCCGTCTGGCTGCGGGTGGCCTGGCCTCCACCAGGGTCTGTCCCACGCCTCAAGACCAAGAAGTGCGGGGGACCCCCCCCCCCCCGGACCCCCTCGCCCCCCTCTCTCTGCACTTCCCCCAAAGAAAGCTGGTCCCAGAGCGATTAGCATTTCTATTCGAGCCCGGCTTCTGTGGGAGCTGGGCTGGCCCAGGCGAGGGGCTGGATGGCTTTAAGGCTCGGCCCCTCGGCCCCCCTCGCCTCGCCTCCCCCCGCCCCCGGCCCTCCCCCCGCTTCCCTCTCTCCCTTTCTCATTCTCTGCCGGGCTTTGATCTCTGCTCGACAACAGTCACGTCACTGGGACTTACGGGAGGGGAGTCGGGCGAGCTGCAAAGTCCTGGAGCCTCCAGAGGCTGCAGCAGCAGGAGCAGCGGCGGCGGCGGCGGCGGCGGCGGCGGCGGCGGCGGCGGCCGAGCAGCCCGGCGGCACCCGCAGCGTCTGAGCCCCGCGCTCCGCACCGCGAGGCGGGCCACGAGAGGCGCGTCCCCCGCCCCGCCGGCCCGGCCCGGAGCCCCCCGCGCTCCGCACCGCGAGGCACGCAGCGGCCCCAGCAGCAGCGGGCTGCCGCCGTCCAGCCAGCCGCCCGTCCGTCCGGCGCTCCGTCTGTCCGTCCGAGCCCCGGGAGCAGCCCGCCCGCCCGCCCGCCCGCCCGCCCGCCGCCGCCGGCCATGGAGCACCAGCTGCTGTGCTGCGAGGTGGAGACCATTCGCCGGGCGTACCTCGATGCCAACCTCCTCAACGACCGGGCACTGCAGACCATGCTCAAAGCCGAGGAGACGTGCTCTCCCTCCGTCTCGTACTTCAAGTGCGTGCAGAAGGACATCCTTCCCTACATGCGCAAGATCGTGGCCACCTGGATGCTCGAGGTTGGTGGGGCTCCGCCGCGCGCGCCCCCCTGCCCCACCGGGGCCGTGGGAAGGAAGGGACCCGACCGCCCGGCCGGCACGGCACCGCACTGGAAGGACGCCCGAGGGCCGCGCGGCTGCGGTGGCCCGGCGGCCGGCCCGCGAGCCCGGGGCCGGGGGGGGGAGGGGGCGGGGGGGGGATTTTATTTTAAATTAATATCCAAGGACACGTATGCAGGGGCTGCCTGTGCCAGTATCCCGCGCCATCTTGCGCATTTATAGCAAAGCATAAGCGTTTATTAATAATGAGGAGGGGGCGCGCGTGGAGGGGGCGCGGCGGCGGCCCGGGCGAGCAGCTTCTGGGGCTGTGCCCTCGGGTGGGTAGGTGGGAGAGGGGGTCCTGGCCTCCGGGCCGCGGCCAGCCTCACTGGGCCAGGTCGCGGGGCCCCGGGGCGCTGCAGCGCCCCGGGGCCCCCCGGGGGGGGGGCTCGGGATGGGCGCGGGTGGACCCCGGGGACCCTGGTCCCCGTTATCGGATACTCGGCCGGCGCCCCCCGGGCCTCTGAGTATTTTTAATTAATTTCCGAAGGCGCGGCCGCTGCCCCGGCTGGCAGAGAGGCGGGCGGCCGCGCGCGCTGCGGGCCCGGGGGGGGGGGGGGGGCCCGTTTCGGGGCTCCCCGCGCGCCCCCCGAAGACCCTACGCGGTCCCTGAGACCGGGGTCCGCTCACGCTTCGCCCAGGGCTCATTGTCAGGGGTTTTGTACGCACCGGGCAAATTTTTAAATATTTTTAAATATTTTTTGAAAAGATGACGTCTGGGGAAATGCGGCCGCCGCGCCGCCTGCGTGGGGACGCCGCCACCTTTGTGTCTCGGGCCACGGCCGCTGGTCCCGGGGCCGCCAGGCCGGCCGCCCCCTTCCCTCGAGCGACCCGGGCCCAGGGTCTCCCCCAGGGGTCAGGGCGAGGGACCCCGGAGGAGCCCCCCCTATCCCGCCCCACCCGCGCCCCCCCCACTCCCCCCTCCCGCTCCCTTGCCCTCCTGTCGGCCACTTTTCCTTTCAGTTTCTCGGGCCTCGCTTTTGTTTTGGGGTTTTTTTGGGGGGGGGGCGCTTTGACTTGATTGGTCTTTCTGCACTTTCCACGGCCCCCTCCTCAGGGGCTCCTCCAGCCCCGCTGGGCGGGGAGGGTGTCTCGGGGATCCTGGGCCCTCCGCTCCTGGGGGGCGGGGAGGGTTGGGGGTCCCTGGCGTCCTGCCTCCATCGCCCCCTCCCACCCCCAGGTGTGCGAGGAGCAGAAATGCGAAGAGGAAGTCTTCCCCCTGGCCATGAACTATCTGGACCGGTTCCTGTCCCTGGAGCCGCTTAAGAAGAGCCGGCTGCAGCTGCTGGGGGCCACCTGCATGTTCGTGGCGTCCAAGATGAAGGAGACCATCCCACTGACGGCCGAGAAGCTGTGTATCTACACAGACCACTCGGTGCGGCCCGAGGAGCTGCTGGTGAGATGCCTGCTGCACCCCAGGTTCCCGGGGGGGAAAAGGGGGGCGGGCGGGGCGCCCCCGGGCCTTGGCAGCAGCCCTGCCCGCCCCCAGCCCGGTCCGGCCTGCCGCCTGCCTAGGGCACAGTTTGCAAACTGCAGTGACCAGCCGGCCCAGAAGTGCAAGCAGCCTTGGGGAGGAGGGGGGTCCTCTTTGCTGGACTGGGGGGTTAGGACTGGGGCTGCGAGTATTCCCCAAGAAGATCACCCTGGTTAGGGGCCGAGAGAGAGAGACACAGAGAGAGAGAGAGAGAGAGAGAGCCCTTTTGCCTACTTCCAGCCCTGTCCCTGCCCTCCCCCAAGATGCGCCCCTGTCTCACCCCCCTTCCCTTCCCCTCCCCTCCCCTCCCTTCCCCTCCCCTCCTCCAGCCACCACGTTTATACCAAGTTAACGTGGCCCCAAAGTGGGCAGCGGCTGCCCTCTAGCGGCATTCCCGCGTGCTCGCGGCCACACGGTTCCTGAGCCTGACTCCTCTCCTTCCAGATGGTGGGAGGCCCTTTTGTCTGAGCTCCTGGAAACAGCCCCCCCTCCCGTGGTGACCACTGGTCACCCTTCCCTAGGAAGCCTCCTTGCTTCCAATCGTGGGGAGTGGGCCCCCCCCCTCCCCGCCTCTTCCACGCCGGCATCTATGCCATGGGGGGCGTCTCCCCCCCCTTTCCTGCACTGCCCTCCCTCTCTCCTTCTAGCACATGGAGCTTCTCCTGGTCAACAAGCTGAAATGGCATCTGGCGGCCATGACCCCCCACGACTTCATCGAACACTTTCTGTCCAAGATGCCCGTGCTGGAGGAGAACAAGCAGATTATCCGCAAACACGCGCAGACCTTCGTGGCTCTCTGCGCTACAGGTATGTTGGGGCGTGATGCGCCCACCTTGCTTAGCATTGGCCCGGCAGGCTCACTTAGGTGAACGTGCCCAAGGGGTCCGTGACCTCAGGTCCCTGTGCTTGGGGCCTCTGCCTCCTGAGAGGGAGTGCCCACTCTTCACAGGGAGGGGCTCAACTGCTTGGTTTCTCTTGGGGCAAGGACTCTACCCCCGTTTCCAGTGACGTGAAGACAGTGAACGCGAAGGTTGTATTTCTGTGTGATTACCATTTTCTTGGGGGGGGACTTGCAGCTCCCCCTTTTATTGTGTCAGCTTGTGAAGGGGGAGGAGGGTGGCTCTCTTGGGGCCAAGCTCCTCCCCCCTCCTGCCTCCACCCTCTTCCCTGCATCCCTAATGAGGCTGCCAAGCCAGGCCCCCACCCCTCCCCTGGCCTCTCCCTGAGCTGGGCCTGCAGCCAGGAGGGGCTGGAAGGGGGGGGAGCCCCAGCCTCTGCTCTCCCGCTCACACCACGTGCCCCCGGCCGATGGGCCATGTGCGGGGGCGGCCAGCGGAGCGCTAGCAGACGCTGAGGCCCGGGCCAAGGGCATGGCGTGGGCCTCAGTGGGAGGGAGGGGCTGTGGATTGGGCTTGGGTTGGGCAGCCCTGGATTGCCAGCAGAGACGACCCGGGCCTCCCCTTCCCTTCCCCCTTGGCGATTCTGCCTGTTAGCCGTGGCTGGCCCCTGGGCATTGGGCTTCTGAGAATCAGCAGCTGCCCCCAGAGTCTGGGTCCAAAGAGCTGGCTCGAGGCTATTTCTCCAGCTCCTGCCAGTCTGGGTCACTGGACCAGGGGTCCTGGGGGGCTGCTGGCAGCACAGAAGCCGTCTCTAGGTCCTGCCTTTGCCTCTCGGGACCCGACACAAGGTAATCACCAGCCGGCCGGCTGCTGTCAAGTCTCTGTGAAGGGCTGAATCATAATAGTATTAATAACAACAACAGCCACAATCATCATCCTGGTAATAAATAGTAAACAATAATCTTCGTCACTGACATTTGTTAGATTACTTGAAAATTTGCAAAGCCTGTGCCAGGCATGATGTCACCGGAGACTGAGCAACCCTGTGAGGGTGGGTGCCACGGGCATCATTATCTTCACTTGACAGATGACCCACAGAGAGCTTGCTCGTGGTCAGAAAGCTAGTGACCGGCAGGATTTGAGCTCAGGTCCAAGTTCAGGATTTGACCACACCACAATGGCTGGTTGCCACTGCCCTTTTATCGGGCTCGCTCGCTCGCTCGCTCACTCTCCCTCCCTCTCTCTCTCTCTCTGTCTCTCTCTTTCTGTTCTGGGATCTTGGCATTTCAGGCTCACTGTTGATTTAGCTGAGCCATGGAAAGGTCCTGGGTCGGCCTGCTGGGGGGCATTCGAGGATGCTCCCCTGAGGTCCAGGCCGGATTTCCTGGGAGCGCTCCAAGGGCCCAAGTGAATGCCAGCTGATTCCTTGTCCCCTGTCCTGCCCCATTTGGGCCTAACCCAAGCGTCCTGTGGCGTGTTTCGGCAGCACCCTCCCCCACCCAGAGCCGTCAGGGAGCCCCCCCTCCCCCCCCCCGGGCCCCCTGGGGGCTCAGCTGCTTCAGCCACCATAGGCCAGCCCTGGCTCTGCTGAGCAGGCGGCAGAGGGAGAGCAGGGACCTTTGGAGACTCACAGTCCGCCTTTTATGGCGCTGGGAACGTTTTCATAGAATCCGAAAAGTTCACTGAGGATAAAGACTACAGCGGCAGCTGTTCCCTCCTCCTCCCTCTCCTTCAGGAAGTGCTCAGCAGGCTTCCCAGAGCCTTCGGTGGCTCTGCCGGGCCCTGGCTGCCGGGGCCCATACCTGGCTGGGGAGGTGGGGCTTGGCCATCCAGCCTCCCCTTTGGAAACGGGGATGTTGAAGAGGGGAGGAGGCCGAGTTCAAAGGTTGTACGGCACAGAGACTGCAGTACTTTGGCCTGCTTCGGGCCTCCCTGGTCACCCACGGTGGAGCAGGGCCCCAGGCCTGGGGGCCAGCACCTTCCTCCTCCGTGCTCTGGGGGGAGGGGCAGCTTCCTTCTGTCCAGCTGCGAGAGGAACCGGGTGTGCTGGGGCGGGGATCAGGGCTGCTTGGGAGCTGGGGGTCTCCGACTCTCAGCACTGGAAGGAGGGAAGGAAGATTGAGTCATTATTGCTTTAAGGAAAGCCCTCTAATGAGGAGGGGGCTGAGGAAGGATTAAGAGCACCCCTCCCCCCCAGGCAGGAAGGATAGTGTTGAAGGGGGGAGGGGCGCTATGGGATTTTGAGTTCTCCTGGTCGCTTAACTGGGCACCTCCTGCAGGGCACTTGTGTGACTGCGTATCATCTGCGTACTTTTTTTTTTCTAGATACGAAAGGTTTTCTCTGTGCTGCGGTAGGTTAGGGGAAAAATTACTTGAGTTGTTTGAAGTTATCACATAATTGAGTTTAATGAATGGACCTTGGCAGGGGCAGGCCGGGCAGGGGTAACTCAAAAGAAACGGGGCTGTCCGGCCCCAGCTCAGAACAGTGCTCAGGAAAACTCCGGCCGTTAGGAGCGAACAATAAAAGAAACAGATACTGCGCACGGGACACTCTCCGCGCACCTCTGCTATCTGCTATCTAACCACGGGGGGCTAAGGCGCCTTCGAAGCCTGCCTTGCCAGGGCCTCTCTTCTGGCTCCTCCAGCTTGGGCTCAAGGTGCGGGACCAGTTGAAACCTGCTGCCCGGTCCCCGCGTGATTTATGGGAGCAGCTCTGATTGGCCTCAATGAAAAGGTTTTCATTCATAGCCCGCGGCTCTCAGACTGGATGCAGTCGGTCCCATTTAGAAAGGAAAGGGGTGACTGGCCCTGTTAAAGTCCTCCCGCGCCTCCAGGCCGCTTTGTCTTCCCTTCAGGGTGGTTGGCATTCTTCTCGGGCCCCCTTCCCTTTCCCCCCTCGCTCTCTCTTTAACAACGCTGAAGTTGTTTATTCTTTTTGGATGAAGTCTCAGAGAGGCTACTGGGGATGTGGGCTTCAATTGGCGCGGGCCCCCGGCCCTTTGTCCCTGTGTCAGATCTCATTCATCTCGCCGAGTTACCCTTGTTTGTGGGCGCTGAGCGGCGCGAGATGAGGCGATGGGGTCTGACAATGATGCCACACTCTGCGCTCGGGGGCATCCAATTACAGGCCTGAGGGGCCCCCTGATTAGTATGCGGAAATTTGGGGCCTCTGGGTGGAGGACAAGGGAGAGCTGGGCTGGGCCAGGCACGGGGAGACACCAGCCCCATTTTCTGTTCCCTTGGCCGCTGCCAAGTGAGGAGGGTGTGAAGGCGGCCAGACTCCTGCCCTTTCGGGTGGGGACAACCCATCCCCCTAGTTGGACAGATGGGGAAACAGAGGCTCAGGCAAGGAGACCCGGAGCTGGGAGGGACCTTCAGAGACGGCCACCTCTTCTGATAGATGAGGAAGGGAGGTGAAGCAGTGTGTGCCACCCTGACACCCAGACAGTCATTTATCATCCATCGAGCATCTCCCAAGCTAACAGCCTCAGTGAGTGGCACTGGGCCTGGGCACTAAAGTCCGGGAGCCGGCTTCTCTTTGTGAGTGTGCAAGCTCTGACTTTCCTGCCGCTGGGGCCCAGCAGAGGCAGGGAGGGAGGGGAGATGCCCAGATCGGGGAGTGCTCGGAAGGCAAGCCGTGGGCCCCTGTGGGAAACTAGAATGATAATGATCCTTCTCTTGTGCGGCGGGCGGTCACGTGGCCAGGGGCGGGCAGTGGAGGAGCAAACTAGGTGTCCTGAGCTGGGGGGGGGACCTGTCTGTCTCCCCCTGCCCCTTCCTCACTAGGTCAGTTAGCCCTGGGAGCCTCAGTTTCCTCATCTGTAAAAAGGAAGGGGGAGCCCAGGGCCCCCCGAGGTCTGTACATTGGTAGATCTCAGGAAGGCTGAGCTCATGGCCAGGCTGGTGCCTCAGCTCAGCCCTGGAAACCCTCCCCTCCCTTGGGCCCCACTCCTGAGCATGGGGGAGGGCTCTTTCTTACTCATTTCTGGCCATTCCTGTTAACCTGAAATGATGAAAAATGCTTGGGCCTGTTTGAAATTTTAATTTGGAGCACTCCGGAGTTGGGCTAATTGAGATTCTTTGGGGGGGGCCGTCCCCCTATTCTCTGAGCTGTGCTCGTTGACTTTGGGTGCTGATGGTGGGGCAATCTTAGCTCTAGAATTGATTTCTCCTTCTGAAGCTCTGCCTCCGCTAGGGACATGGGAGTGCTCCTGGTCCCACAAGCTTGAGGGCTCATCCCTCTTGGTCGCACGCAGAGCCCCTCCTGGGGGTGGTGAGCCAGAGGGGATCCACCCCATTCCGAGCGTGCCCGTCTGGACCCGAGGAGGGCAGCCATGCAGACGGCAGTGGCGGGCCCCTCTGGGGATCCAGGGAGGGCCGGGCCAGACCTCCATCAATGCAGGCAGCCGGAAGGCCAGGCCCTCGCCAGCATGGGGTCCCGTCTGCCCTCTCCGGGACCCCCGACCCTTGGGCTGCGCTGCATCCCACCGATTCTGTTGCCAGGGTGGATGGCAGCCAGGGACAAGAGGCGAGGTGGAGACAAAGAATTTTGAAGATGAAGCCTTCATTTAAATACGCATTATCTAGCTACTGACAGGTCGGGCTGGCTGGGAGGAGCTTTTCTTGGGGTTTTTACCACTCCCCCCCCCCCCCATCGCCAGGGAGGTTTTCTCTGGGGGGGGGGCAGGGCGTTTCTATGTTTCCAAATACGTCCCTGTGTTTGTCTCTTAGCCTTCCGTGACCTTCGCTTCTTGAGGGTAGGAAGATGTAAAGGACCGGATCTCACGGCCCACCTCAGAGCTCGTCCCTCCGGGAGGTGCCTGAGGGGCTGTGGGGAGAGCCTTGGCCCCTGACCCCCACACCGGGGCGGTCGTGACAAAAAGCCTGTGGGGAGTGTGGGCTGCGCCAACGCTCCTTGTACCCTCCCGACCACAAGCTTTTCTCGGCTGCCGTCCAGGCAGGAGGACGCCCTGTCCAAGTCGGGGTGGGGTCTGGTTTGGGGGTGACCTGAGGTCCCTCTGAGGCTGCAGTTCTTTGAAGCTCAGTGTGTCTCCTGCCCTTTCTCTGCCAGATGTGAAGTTCATTTCCAACCCCCCTTCCATGATCGCCGCGGGGAGCGTCGTGGCCGCCGTCCAGGGCCTGCACTTGGGGAGCACCAACTCCTTCCTCACCTACCAGCGCCTCACCAGATTCCTGTCTCAAGTTATCAAGTGTGACCCGGTAAGTCATGCGCCATCACCACCGGGCAGGCGGGCTCTGGTTGGGGGGCCAAGTTTTCAGTTTTCAAAGGAGGAAACCGAGGCTCAGGAAAGGCAGAGGGATTTGGCCAAAGTGACAGAGACAAGATTATTTCTCCATACAGGCCTTCCAGTCAAATAGGAGAAAACAGAGGTCCAGGAAAGGGGCATAATGGGGAAAGGCATTTATTAAGCACCAGCTGTGTGCCAACCACTCTGCTTAGGCCCTCCTTTGACCCTCCTGGCAGCCCTGGCGTCTTGGGATGTCTTGACCGAGGCCACAGAGGGGGAGTATAATGAAGGCTGTGCGGTCACATGTCATGCATGGTTAGATTTAGGATGTCCGCTTTAGAGAAGGAAAGTCCCTCTGTTTGCGCAGGAGGAAACTGAGGCCCAGAGAAAGGGTCATCCAGGTAGGTCATCTTGGCAGAGCCGAAGTTAAGGCTCCTCGGGGAGGGGGAGCCCCGGTGGCTTTTGTCCAGGGCACAGGGAGAGAGCAAGAAGCCACATCAGAACGTCCTGAAGTGGCCCCAGCCCTGAGTCTGACACCAAAGTGACCGGCGTCTCTCGGCTGCCTCTGGCCCAGCTGGATGCCCGCCCCCCACCCGGGGCTTCCTGGAGATGCTCCTCGGGGACCCCACGGGCAGGGGGGGAGGGCTGGCGGCCAGTGAGCCATGGTTTGTGGGGGGCACGGAGGGACGGCCGTTAAAGGGGGTGCCAGGATGGGGTCCTTGGGAAGTTTCAGACAGTGAGGTGAGAAGGCCAGCCTGAGCCTCGATTAGAGGGAGAACAGTTTCCCTTCCAGGCTGTTTTTGTGGGTTTTTGGAGGGCAGCACTATCCCATGGGGATGTAGCATTTTCAGTGTCCGCCCGTGATAATAACTCTGGTTTTCTGGCAATTCGAGGCTCACACACCGCATCAGCCCGGGTTGGTGTGTGCTCTGCTCATCCCCTTTTACAGAGAAGCACACTGAGGCAGGCAGGGTCACCCCACTAGTGAGTGTCTGAGGCTGGTGTCGGTGATCCATGGCAGAGCCAGGCCGTGGAGCCCATGCCCCTCATTTCACGTGGGAGGAGACAAGGCGCTCGCCCACATCCCCCAGGAAGGCAGGTGAGGGGCAGAGCCCGGATGCGGGCTTCTGGCCCTCCTGCCTCCTCCCCTCGAGGGGCGTCCTCAAGGCTTCATCCCTGCTCCTGGTTCTGTACGTGGCCCGTCTGCCGCCAGACGGCCCTGTTTTCTCACACAGGAAGTACCGAGAGTGAAAATCAGTCCTTCTAAAGGAAAAAAGCAAAAAACCACCTTCACTTTGCCCTCCCAGGAAGCTGAGTGGACCTGGGGCATTCTGACCACCTTCTTGAGGGGTCCTTCGTGACCCCCGGAGCCTGGCTGGCTTCATTTGCCTTGTGCCCAGCACTACCTGGGCAAGGTTGGGGTGTGGTGGCAGTGGTGCAGTCAGCCTCCACCTGGGGTTGGCAGAACAGAAGGGCAGCCACTTGGACCACCCAGTGCTTTAGGTGACTCAGGTGCGGGGTCAGCGCCACACTTCCCCTTTCCCCAGGTCTGGGCCTCAGTTTCTTTTTCTGTATAGTCGGGGGATTGCCACCCGGAGATCCCTTCTCCTTAGGAATCTGCTTCCCTACCACAAATGATCTGAACTCATTTAGGTCCCAGGTTCCCCGGAGGAATCATTCATGACAGTGATAACGATAACATTAATGGCTGGTGTCAGGCCAGCACCCCGTGGCCCTGAAGAACATCCCCAGCCCGGCCCCTCCTCAGGGTCTTCCTCCCGGAGAGGCCCCCAGCCCTCTCCCTCAGCAGCTTCCCCTGAGGAAGGCATTGGAGCCGCCAGCTCTCTGGCACGAGGGCCGTAGACGGCGCTCCTTCAACTGAGTGACGACTCCCCATTTTACAGAGGAACAAACTGAGGCCAAGAGAGGAGGACGGTTTGCCGAGTCCCCCAGCTAGCACGTGTCAGAGACAGGATTTGAACCCAGGCCTTGCTGGTTCTTCCAGGTCCAGCGATGATGTCGTGAGTGCCCTGGCACTGGAGAAGTCAGGAATGAAAGCCGGCCGTTTGGCGTCACTATTAATAATCCAGCATTTCCTTAGTGCTTACTTACCCCCATGTTTCCTCCTCTGGGACTCATAACCCTGGAAGGGAGCTGCTGTTATGATCCCTACTTCACAGATGAGGAAACAGAGGCAGAGAGTGGTGAAGTGACTTGCCCAGGGCCACACAGCTGGTCAGTGGCTGAGACAGGATTCAAACTCGGGTCCTATGGGCTCCAGGTCCACCGCATCATTGGTGCTTGGGAGACCCTAGATACAGCAGCCTCGAGTGGGCTGAGGCCAGTTTCCAGCTGTCCAGGGCATGATCCCTGTGCTTAGGGTGGGGGTGTCTGCCGGTGGCACCACCATGGCCCAGTGGGGCAGGGTCAGTGAATGGGCTTTATTTTACAGATGAGGAAACCGAGGCCCAGAAGGTCCAAGTGACTTCTTTTTTGCATTCCCAGCACTTAGTGCCTAATGGATGCCTGTTTGTTGATTGATTTGTGATAGTGGGGCTGATTCCCAGGGTAGGTGGAGCCAGTCTGGGTGGACCCTCTCCTTCCCGGGGGAGGGGGGGATTCACCCTTGTCTTGGGCACTGTGTGGCGCTGTGCCTGCCTGAGTTGGGGGGTCCCAGCCCTAAGCCTCAGGCACGCCCGGGGGGCTACCAGCTGAGTGACCCCCCCGGGCCAAGCAAGCCTCTGTCTGTTCATCTGCCGAGTCAGAACAGCAATACTTGTCTCTCTACCACCACTGAGATCAGCCAGCACATTGATTAAGCACCTTCTGTGTGCAGGTGCTCTGGTCTTTGCAGAGGCGTCTTTCCCATTGAAATACTAGAGGCTGAGTAGTGGAATAAGGAGTGTTGGAGGGGGCAGGCCTGGGTTCGAATTCCATCCCTGTGGCGAGGCTCTGTGCAGCCACCAGGAAGCATGTGTTTAGCACCTGCTGTGTGCTGGGCATGGCCCTTGGTGCTGTCTCAGCCCTGGCAGGATCGGAGCTCCCCTTATGGTTCCTCGATGTGTCCCTCACGACCCCAGCAGAGCCCAGCTCACAGTAGGTGCTTAAGCAGTGCTTTGGAATTGAATTAAGGCCTTCTTCAGGCTGCCCCTGAGAGCTTGAGACGCCATTTCCAAGACAAGACCCAGAGGAAAACCTCACCCTTCAGTAAAGCCTTGGGCATTCAGTGGGGCCACCCTCCCCAACTTTAGGGGAGGGTCTCCTGACCACCAGCCCCTAGAAGAATGCCCGAGGCAGCCCGCCCCCTCTCAGCTGGAGGTGTTAAACATTGGGTGGGGGAGACAGGGAAGGAAGGAGATGGAGGTGTGGGCCACCCTGACCATGGGTCCCTCATCCCCTAAGTGGAGCCCCCTGATCAGGAAGAGGGTTGGACCTCCATGCCCTGGCAGGCAGGCGGGCAGGGTTCTCAAGGCCGGCCTTTTCTCCCCCCCCCCCAACAGGATTGCTTACGAGCCTGCCAGGAGCAGATCGAAGCCCTCCTGGAGTCCAGCCTGCGCCAGGCCCAGCAGCACAGCTCATCCTCAGTGCCCAAGAACATGGAGGAGGAGGGAGATCTGTCCTACACGCCCACCGACGTGCGAGATGTGAACATTTGAGGGCCCGCCCGCCGTCTGCTGGGGGTTTGCTGAGTCTGGAGGCAAACAAAGGGCATCTGGGGCCGGAGGCTGCCGCCGCCATGTCAGAACCCCCCCCCCCCACCCCCCCCCCCACACGCAGGAGACCTTCCCCGGGACACTTCTAGACCCAACGGGCCCTTCGCTCCGTTTTCTCTGTTCCTGTTCTTTCTCTCCGCTCTCTCTCCCTCTCCATCTTCCATCCGTGACTTACAGAAACCATCCCAAAAAACTGTCGAGGAAAAATATGCGCGTGGCCCCGGGGGATTGGGCTTTGCGCCGAGCAAATAGATGCTTTTATACTCTAATAATCAACTAGTTTTTATATTAACGTGTTTATGACTGTATGTTGTAAAGATAGGCGTTAACATGAGAAGGAGATCTCCAGGGGAGGTCTTAGCCGCGATTCCTTACATGGTGAAAAACCAAAAAAAAAAGAAAAAGGAAAAAAAAGCCCCAAAATGCAGAAACCACAGAACGAAGCAGAAAAAGTGAAACCAGCCGTTTTTGAGTAGAGGAGGGTTAGCGTTTTTCTTCTTTTGTAGACGTAGAGCTCCGAGGGCGGCGGCGGGCATCTGGGCCCCCGCCTGCCTGCCGCCCGCAGCCCCAGCACCTCTGTCATCCGCTAGCTAATGCATGTAGGCACTTTACGGCCTGTCTCTGAGCGGCTTAGCTCCTTCCCTAGGTGTTTCTCCTCTCCCCTCACGAGTGGTTCAGCGGAACAGAGCGTTTCCTTTCAGGCTAATCTTGTTCGTGCCTCAGACCCAGAGCTTTCTCTCTTACACGCACACGTGCGCACACACACACGGCTCATCCAGGACTTGTATTCTAGAAAGGACAAAGTAGTGACATAATATATTCTATTTTTGTAATCTTCCTATTTTTTTAGCGCGCGCTGACCCAGCGGCGTGTGGAAGGCCAGGGCTTCCGGCGTCCTCCTGCCGCCGTCCGTTCGGCGGAACCCGTGTTGTGCCCCGAAACCATTCCATTCCAAAGCACTTTCAGTCCACGAGAGAGAGGAGGCCATGTCGGTGTGTTGTGTGTTGCATGGGGGGCGGGGGCGGGGGGACTCTCTAAAATGGAATGGTTTGGAAGCAGACGTACGCTCAGAGGCAGACGGCCGAGTTGGCGCCTTGGCTGGACTCTGGTGTCTGGCCGTGGTGGTTTGAGGTGGTTGGGTTTCAGAGGAGAGAGGGAGAGAAAATTGGTTCACAGATTGCCAGGATGCACGCCTGCCCTTCCCAAGGCTCTTCACGTCTTTAGTGCCAACTGATGTTTGTAAATTAGGGGCCTGAAAGGTTTGCCTTAGACCGTGTAGTTTTTCTCTACCTGTTTTACAACGGAAGGTTTTTAAAGGCTAAAATATATAATTTATAGTTAAGGCTATAAAGCATATTTATTGCAGAGAAAATTCAGAAGGCCAGTACGATTTGTAAAATAATGCAATCTCCCCCTTGGTTTAAAAAAAGACACAAAAAAATCCCCACAATACCTTGTGCTTACCCGCGACGTTGCAGTTTTGACGCAGCTTGTCAAAGACCGGTCCTTTGGAGTCAAGTTATCAGGAACAGAACCCAAGGACGCATGGACGCAGCTCTTGGGAGGAGAGGGTCTGTCTGGCCATTGAAAAACCCACGCCAGAGCTGGAGAACCCGGGGAGGGGGGCTGGCGTCCGCGTCTGTCTTCTTCCCTTGTGTAGCGACTGAAAATTTGCACATCTGGGCGAGGCATGTTGTGTTATTCTTTAGGAAGTAAGTAGATGAAGGGAGGGGGTGGATGGAGGGAGGGGCGGAAGGAGAGGAAGATGGCGTTGGAGGAGGAAGGGGGGGTTGGGGTGAGGAATCGGAGGGATGGACGGACCGACGGATGGATGGATGCATGGGGGAAGCTGCCGATCGTTGAAGGGGTGATTGTAAAAGTAACAGGAGTGGAGTGGGGGATACTCCGTTTTTATTGAGCTGCTATGGATGAATTCCCAGCATGGTTTGGAAAAGGAAAAAAAAGACAGCTAGTAGCGCTTCTCTGTATCTTTGTTGTGTCGTTTTGCTGCTATATATTGTGGATCAGTTTTTTTTTTTTTTTTACACAATGTCATTAACTGCCATGTCAAACGTTTTTAATTTTCTCATAGAAAATTATGTTATTGACAATTTTTTTTGTAGATTTTTTTTATGTGATCATTTTTTTTTTTTTTTACTTAATGTGATTACTGCTCTATCCCAAAAAAGGTTCCTCTTTCACAATACCTCATGCTTTTCAGTTAACCGTGTTAGAACCAGGGGTTTTCAGGTCCTGGACTCCTAGCCTCCCCTCCTCCTGCAAACTCACCGACCAGCCAACTGACCAGCCAGCTCACAAGCCAAGCAGTCATGGCGTGCGCTCTCTCCTGAATGGGGCTCCGGCAAGCAGGGTTGCGCGAGTTGAGAAACAGCCCCAGAGACTGAGTCCCAGCGGTTTCCTTCTTTGCTGTGCGTGGAGAACAGTGGATTCTCCCTCTGCCCTGGGGTTCATTATCATAGTAGTTGTAAGCTATGTTATTAGCCACATTGCTCTATGGAAGGTGCATTAATTCTTAGGACTGTCTGCTGGGGGGACTCACCCTTGGCATAGGGTGTCTTCTGAAACGCTACGTATCTGGCGTGTTTAATCTGTTTATTATATGCTAGGTTTTTGTTGTTAATTATAGCATAATGCTAATTTAAGAGAAGCCTGTAGGTTTTACCATGAAGCCGGCTAACAGAGTTGTATGCTGAAGAATAAACTAGCTGTTTGTCTGTATGCTGCTAAAACCAAAACGGAATTAGAATTCATTTATTTTTTATTTTGAGGAGAAACGCAGTGAAGATCCCCGGTGGCCCGTGGAGGGCGGCGGCGTGGCATCCACCCGTCCTGGCCACGTTTGGGGAACATTGACGCTTTACCTCAGAAACACTTCTCTGTTTGTGTGGCATCTCTGTGTCGCGGGGGGGGGGGGGGCCGGGGGGGGGGGGGGGCTGTGTGCTAAGCTCAGTGGTGGTGTGTCCGGTAAGTTTCTTTCAATATTGTACGTACTAAGAGGCCAAAGGCTGATCGCGGGTTCATGTGTCCACAGAGGTGCTTTATGTGTCCTGTTTTTACAGATTTATAACAATCTTATAGGAAACAGACAAGTCAGATGTGTACGTTTTTATATTGTACTTATTGGCATCCCTGGTCTGAAATGCACATTTTCACCAACAGACCTGTAACAGACAAGTTTCCAGCAAAAAAGGAAAAAAAAAAGAAAAAAACTTAAAAAAAAATTTAAATTCTAGAAATAAACTTTGTAAAACCCAGTGACTCTGCTGTTGTTATTGCTGATTGGGTGGGAAGCGGCTACAGGTTAACTAGTGGGGGCTTCGCTCCTGGTGCCTCTCACAGAGAAGGGACCGGATGGACATGGAGGAAGGAGGTCAGCAAGTCCTGGCCTCGAGGGGCTCCCCCAGGACGATGGCTGTGGGACATCAGCGTGCCAGGAAGTGGGCGACGAGACCCTTCTGCCTCCTGATGGGGCATCATGCCTCCATCCCCTTCTGGAGGGTGCAAGTTAATTTCGAGTGCAGCAGAATTTGAGGGAGGATGAGAGAGTGTACGGCAAAGTCCTTGGGAACGCAAAACTCTACCCGGATCCCACATTGCAATGGAATGCGGGCCTTGGGTAGCTGGCTTAAGCATTTGTTGAGCACCTAGGGTGTGCTAGGTATTGGGGACATCTAGCCAGCCACTTAGAATTGGTCAGAGGAGATGCTGTGTGTGTGTATGGGTAGATGTAAAGTAGTTCTGGGCATGGGGGAGGCAAAGGCAGCCCTCTGGAGCCCAGGGCAGAGTCCACATGGTCAGTCACGGGTGTGTAAAGGGGGGCCCTTCCAAACCCTGCTCAAGGTCAGCCTCTGCGCTGCACGTCAGCCAGCTGGGATGTAGGGGGTCCTCTCCTTCGTCTTATGGATTCTTTCCTGGCTTCCCAACAAATCTGAACTCGGGGCTCTTCAGTCCAGCCACCCCGGCCCCTCACTGCTCCCTGCACAGGACGCCCCATCTCCTGACTCTGGACGTTTGCACCGGCTGTTTCCCGTGCCCCAGGTGCCCTCCCTGCTTAGTCTCCAACTCCTGCAGGAAGGCGTTCCCAGGCTCCCTTAATTCGAGGTCCTTGCCTCTCATAGTGAGGATCTCCTCTCTATCTGTGTAGCTCGGTACATACTTGTCTGCCTCTTGTCTCCCCCACTGGACTGGAAGCTCTTCGAGGGCAGGGACTCCCGAGTGCCTTTTGTCCTATCTCCAGTGCCTGGTATATAGTAGGTGTTTAATAAATGCTTTTGGTGCCTGAATGCAAATCCACACTATCCACTGGGCTAGCAGAGCCAGGAGAGGTCAGCCAGGGACCCAGCTCTGTCCTCAGCAACCTCAGTGGGTGTAGGCACATTCATGAGCATAAGGGAGACCCTCGCCTCTGTCCTGCCCATCTGCCTCCTAAGAGGGTTGTCAGGATGAAGTGAACTCTGACACAGGAAAGTTCGGGGGACACTGTCACCTTTGCACAAATAGAAGGACCTTCTCCAAGCCACGTCCAGAGAGCCCAAGGGCCCTGGCGGGGGACTGGTAGTTGGAGGTGGTTTGCGGGTCCCTCTTCTTAAGAGGCACTACTTGCAGGTGGGTGCCTCTGTCTTATAACAGCTTCTGTCTACAAAGGGGGAAACTGAGGCCAAAGAGGGTGAAGCAGCAGCCCTGGGACTGCCCTCGATCCTCGTTCTGACTCCAAACTCGCTGCCGTATCTGCCGTGCCAGGCTGCTAGCCCTGTGGCCGGCCGGCTGTCCATTCTCCTTCACGGCTGACTCTTTCCGTAAGGCGTCTCCACCTCTCCTCCTCTTCAGGTCCTGCCCGTCGCAGCTCTGAGGGTCCCCCACCAGGAGCTGGAGAAAGTCCCCAGCCACACAACTTCCTTCTCACCTGGGCCCCGCCACGTTAGGGCCATGCTTTCCTTCTTCCCTGGCTGACAGTCCCCTCAGAGAATGTCCCCAAACTTTCCTCTCTCTGGGAGGGCTCTGAGGCCAGCTCCCAGTGTGGCCTGGGTAAGACTGTGCCACGCCCCCCTTCACCTATAGAATGAGGGGGTGGGCTGATGTCCCCCCTCCCCTCCCACAACATGAGATTCACAGCTGGGACAGACAGACCACTGGGCCCAGCTCTGGCTCTTTGCAGATGTTTATTAATAAACATTTGTTTTTGCTGACTGTGAGATGGACCCAGAGAGGGGGCGGCAGTCCCTCCCCCACGTCCTAGGCCTGCGTGGCCAGGGATCCGGGAGCCCAGCCAGCCTGTTCACACAGGCTGGTGCCAGCAGCTAGCTCCATGGAGAGATGCCAGCACCCCGACAGGCTCCCCACTGTTTACATGCGTGTTGTCACCTGTGCAGCTCTGTGACCCCCTCACACCCTGGGCACCAAAAATAAAGTAAGAGGTTTTCCCCGGGGCATGTTTTGTTCCTCGGCAGACAGCATCGCCCCTCTCTGATGGGCCTGGCACCTGGGGGTCAAGGGATTGCTCTCAGGCCTGGGAAGCCTCTCCGTGGCTTGATGCCAGGGCACAAAAGGTGTGCATGAAACACCTCAGCCCGAGATGAGATGCTGGCCAATGTGGTGGGCCCTGTCTCCAACTCACCTCTGAGACTGAGGGGCAGGGCAACAGTGCCCAGAGATGGAAAGCCAGGGCTACGGAGAAGCGGCCCGGTGCCACGGAAACCTGCCGACGCTGGAGGACCTGCGTTTGAATCCCACCTCTGGCCTCCGTTTTCTCACCTGGACGACACAACTTCCAAGCTCCCTCATCATCCAACTCAACATTTATTGAGTTTTTGCTGCCTTGGCCCAAGCATTAAGGAGGAATGAGGTGGGTCCACAGCACGGCCCAACACATCGGCAGGGTCTGACAGGCGTGCAGATGTCTCCTACGGCCTCATATGCTCCTTGGGGGACGTGACATACACGAGGAAGCAGATACGGAGTCATCTGCCGGAGCGAGGTGCCCGGAACTGAAGGGTCAGGAAGGGTCGCAGGGACGAGGGGGCGCTGGGCTGGGCGCGGCTCTGAAGGAAGCAAGAGATGCTGAGAGGAGGGAGGTGAGGAAGGACAGTCCGTCCCGGGCAAAGATGGAGCGTCATCCACAAGAGGCAGCTGGCAGGCTGGACCAACGGTGATGAGAGAGGGAGGACAGGAAAGGGCAATGGGAGATAGGGCCAGAGACGTGGGGGGCAAGGAGGGTCCCTAAGGGTCGGGATGAGGAGAAGCAAAGGGAGCCCCCGGGCCAGCCCCTGAGACACCAACGGCCTGGAGGGAGGCCCACTGGGTGGAGGTGGGGGAGGTGGGACTGGACCCCACCGCCTGCCCTGCTCGCCCACACACACGTAGAGAGGCCACGCTGGACCCTGAGAGGAAGCCACGGGAGGGAGGGACAAAGGCCACGCATGTTCCTAAGGAGCAGGAGCTGAGCCTCGGGGAGCAGGAGGGCATTTACTTCCCACAAGCTGCGGCCTCATGGAGGAAGGGGGAGCCTTCATGTGCCCGGATCACGAGCAGCCCTCTGTCCTCAGTGTTCTCTGCACACAGCTCTGCCACAAACACGCGTTTTCTTTTCGTGGGGGCAGCTGCTGAGATCCCAAAGTTTGGAGAGGCGTGTGCATGCCTGTGTGCAGTGTGCATGTGCCTATGTGTGCAAGTGCATGCATGCATGCGTGTGAGTGCATATGCACGAGGACATGCCTTCTGTGCCTGCGTGCGGTATGCGTGTTACGTGTGTGTGTGTGTGTGTGTGTGTGTGTGTGTGTGTGTGCTGTAAGCTCCTGCTCCCGCTGGCTGGTCAAGACTGGGTCACACAGAAGGCAGCATGGTGTCATCCCAGGAATGTCTTTGACCCAGAGTTTATACAGGAGGGGAACAAAGCCGTGGCGCTCTAATCCATTCCCGCAGTCCACTCGCCACGAGCTGGGCAAACACTGGATCATGGTGAGGCGGGCTCACTGCCCGACAAGAGCCATGAGAGGAATTGAGGGCACACGGAGGCTGACTACCAACGCCCAGGGCTCCATTCGGGAGGCCCGGCCCGGCCAGGGTGGTGCTGAGAGAGGAGGCCCAGTCTCCCCCATTCTGGAAGGTGAACCCTGGTATCCCACGGGCAGGAGACGAGAAAGCCAGGGGTGTCCTGGGGCTCTCCAGGCAGCCTGCGAAACTGGTCTGATCTCCCCCAGCCTGGCCGGGCCCCAGGGTCTGCCTCACTTTGCACCTCACCCCGTGGCTGCTGGGGGGACCTGAACAGGAATCCACACTCAGAAAGAGCTAATGTCATCATGTAACACTCCCTGAGGCTCAGTTTCCCCTGCAGGCCATCTCTCAGGGCTGCTGGGCGGCCGTGCTTTGTCCACGCTATTATAAGAATGCGCGCTGCCTCGGTCGATGTTGGTGACAACAATGAGCTCCGGATCACACTTCGGAAGCTGAGGGAACTGACCGGAGCCGCCATCCCTTTCTAAAATCTATGGTCCGGTGGCCGATAATGATCAATACAAATAACACATTAGTGACAAGTCGGTGTTTTTTGTTTTTTTAAGTGAAAAGCAGGGCTGCACAAAAGAAGCCTGGGGAGAGACATGGCCCATTGGGCCCAGGAGACAAGGCTGCAGGCCCAGCCCTGGCTCCGGGATGGCAGGGCGTCGGCTAGGGTGGGCTCCCCTGCTGCCTTCCTGACATGGGGAGCTCCTAGGCCCATCCAGTCATGTGTGTGTGACCTGCACAGTCAGAGGTCAGGTTGGACTGGACCCTCCCCGCCCTCCCCCCGGGCTGTCTCTGGGGCCCGGCTACTCTCCTGGCACGGGTCTACCCACATGGCTCCCTTCCTGCCCCTTCTAGGAATCTTCAGGAAGCATGTGCACAAGAGCTCCCGGAGCACTCTGTGTAGCCTGGCATTCACTGTCGTGGCTGGCCCCCTGCCAGGGGCTCCCGTCTAGGGACAGGGGCTCTGGCGCATCAATGCAAAGTGGGCTGAGGCCACCGGACGCTCGGCGTTGTCCTGGCACGGCGTCCCACGTTGAGACAACCTGCGCTGGTCTGGGTTCGCTCGGTCCGCAGTCTGAGGAACACGTAGAGGTCTGAAGGAGGGACCCTGCCCATGTGGTCTTCCAGAAATGCATTTATTTAACGCCAGAGCTGCTGATCTCCGGGGCCAGAGGGACTGACTTTGTGATGAGTCCAGCCCCGGGGACAGGGAAGGCTTGATGCTTCT